GATGATGTCTCTGAGCATCTGGAGCTCGGGGTCCTCTGACGTCGCACGCTCCACCCGGTCCAGCATGATGTCGGTGTCGCACGCTCGAAGCTCAGCTACCAAGACGCTCTGGAGGGCAGGTGCGTCGTCGTCTTCCCCACATTCGTCATCAGCAGCTGCTGGTTGGGTGGGGCTCCTGGAGAGAGCGTCTGCCGCCTTGTGCTGGGATCCTGGCACCCAGCTGGCTACGAATGGTCCGTAGTATGCCATCTTCAACTTCAGTCTCTGTAGTCTCGGGTTCTCGATCTCGTCGAGAGTCTTGCCGTTGATGATGGGGACGAGCGGCTTGTGGTCGACGAATATCGTGAAGCTCGTCAGTCCGGAGAGAAAGATGTGACATTTCTTCATGGCCCATACCACGGCAGTGGCTTCCAACTCGATGGTGGCGTATCGGGACTCCGCTGAAGACAGGAATCGCGATCCCGCCTGGATAACCCGCCAGCTGCCGTCCTCCTGCTGCTGCCGTAGGAGGAAGCCGAATCCCTTGAGGCGGCTGGCGTCGGACGAGAGCGAGGTTGGTCGTCTGGGGTCGAAGTAGGCCAGGTTCGGAACTGATGTCAGCGCTTTCTTGGCTGATATGAACGCCTGTTCTTGCTGCTCGTCCCAGACGAACTCGTTTCGGGTGCTGAGCAGCGGCCTGAGAGGCAGGAGGAGCTCCGAGAGCTCGTCGACGAATGGGGCGACCTGGTTGGCGAGGCCGAAGAAACTTCGGAGCTCAGAGATGTTCTTCGGTGTCGGGAACGACGAGATGGCCGACGTCAGCTGAGGGTCGGGCTCGTAGCCGTCCGCCGATATGATGAAGCCGGCGAATTTCACCTTCTGTTGGGCCAGCTGCAGCTTCCGCCGGTTCAGGGAGATACCCCTCTCCTCGCAGCGCTCCATGAAGCGACGGACGTCACGGATGTGGTCCTCCCTGGTCCGACTGTAGACCACGACGTCATCCACGATCTTCTTGTAGCCGGTGAGGCCGGAGAACGCCTCGTCCATGCGCCTGTTGTAGTGGTCAGCTATCGAGCTGACCCCGTACGGCGCGCGTAAAAACGCGTACCGGCCGAACGGCGTGATGAACGTCGTCTTCAGCACGCTGTCCTGATGAAGAGGGCACTGGTGGTAGCCCTTTGCCGCGTCGAAGACGGTGAACCACTTCGCCTCCGAGCTCGCTATAGAGGCAACTTCCTCCAGCGGGGTGGGTGCCTGGTACTGCTCGGTGCGGACGAACTTGTTCAGGCGAGACAGGTCCACGCACAGCCTGATTCCTCCCTCCTTCTTCGGTTCAACGACGATCGGTGCACACCACTCAGTCGGCTCCGTGACGGGCACGATGATGCCCTCGGACACCAGCTTTTGCAACTCGTCCTTCAGCGGCGTGCGGAGTGAGAGGGGCACTCGTCGTGGGCTCGACACGCGGAACGGCACGGCTTCCTCCCTGAGGTGAATCTTGAACTGCTCCCCCGGCATGACTCTGATGTGGCCGTCGAACACGGTGGGGAACTCGGACGTGATGTCCGGGAAGGAGCCTCCCTGGTCCACAGGCGGCTCTGCTGACCCGTCTTCAGATGCAGGTGCACCGGTCGGAAGGCTGCTGCCATGCCGCTCGACAGGTGTCGCCGCGGTCGCCTCTCCGGCAGCGCCGTCGCGCGACACCGCCGCCACGCAGTCCGATGACGTGCCACCGTCGGGCAGCGCGGCGCGAGACCGGTGCCGATGCCGCGCTGGCCCCGGCCGAGGGCGGTCTGGTGCGTCCCTGGTGCGAGAGCCAGAGGCGGGTTCCGGTAGATCGGCGGTTATCTGCTGCGGATAACCGGCTGGAATGATGTCAAGTCCCTTCACGGCCTTCCAGGAGAGCAGCAGGCCGCTGACGCCCTCCAGGATGTGCACCGACTCCTGCACCGAGACGCGGCCGAGATTCAGCGAGACCGGCAGGACTCCCAGCGACTTGACCGTCTCGCCGTTGGCTGTCCGAGGATGCTGCTCCGGGGGGAGCAGGTTCTCCGGGTACTCGTCCATCTCCTTCAAGAAGTCGAGTCCTCCGACGCAGATGTCAGCCCCGGTGTCAGGCAGCGCGAGTACCGAGGCGCGGCGCTGCGCCGTGACATCCAGGCGCACGCGGGGGGCGCTCTGCACCGAAGCGACCGCGATGATGGCCGACGCGGCCGGTCGCCGCGCCGCACCGTCCGGGCTCCGGTCACTGCTGCCCTCCGACGACTGGAAGCGGACCCGGGTGCCGCGCCACGGCTGGCGCCGTTGCGATCGCCGCGTGTCCAGCGACGGGGACGGCGATCTCGACGACGAGCGGTACGGGTCGGGCCTGTAGCTCCGCCCAGGTGGCGAGCTCCGCGGCCGAGACGGGGCCAGCCGGCGGCGCTCGTACGACGTGGTCGGTCGGCGGTCATCGTAGTCGCCGGATGCGTCGGGGCAAACTGCCGCGAAGTGGTCCAGCTGACGGCAGCTGCGACAGCGCTGACCCCGGGCCGGACACGCGTCTCCCATCCGGTGACGTCGCCGGCCGCACGCAGCGCACCAGCCGCCGTCGCGCCGCCTCGGTCCAGCGCTCGGCGGCGCTCGGTGGCGCTCGGCGGCGTCCACTCGGTGGGCGGCGGCCCGGGCGAGTCCGCCTGCCCGCAGCTCCACGGCGTCTCTGGCGGCCGCCTCGTCAGCCCTGCAAACAGCGATGGCATGCGACAGCGAGAGGTTTTGGACGGCGCAGAGACGTTTGACGGTCTCCGCTGATCTCAGACCCATCACAATCCTATCCCTGATTAGCGAATCATTACACGCGTCACAAAATTTGCAAGCACGAGACAATTCACGCAGGGAGGTTAGAAAATCATCAAAGACCTCCCCTTCAGCCTGAAACCTTTCGTTAAACCTCTTCCTTTCGATAACCTCGTTTACTTGGCCCACTGCGAAACGCTCCAGCGCGTCCAGTACAACCTCGGGATCGGCACGCTGGACCTCGGTCAGCTCCAGGTTCCTCAGGACGCGGCGACTCTCCGGGGTCATGACATTTTTCAGGGCAGCCAGCTGAATGTCAGGTTCAGCGTCTATCAAGCCGGTCAGGAGCACGTAGTCCTCCCAGCTTTCTCTCCAAACCAGGAAAGACTCACCCCGGTCCGTGGAGAGGTCCAGGCTGTCCGGTGCTCGTACTCGGCCCGCCCACGGGGCCGGCGCGCTGCGGGACGCACGACCGCGGCCGGCCCGCTGCCGCGGCGCGGCAGCCCGAACCGCGACGGAAGCGGCCGGCTCCCGAGACGCATCCGGCTCCCGAGACGCATCCGCTACGCTGTCGGCGTCAGAGTCCCCCATTGCTGGGTCGAAAATGCACAATAATTATGCACGTCGCCCTGTCACACTTGCACTGGTAATCGCACGTTCACGACCCTGCCGGCTGCGCCATGTGATGACGCCTCTGAACCGGTGCAGGTGTATTGTTCACAGCGAGCGAGCGTGGCGCGGACCCAGTAGAGACTGACGCGGCCCCGCACGGTCCGGCCGGGAGCCGCCGCCGGACCGTGCCCCGAGGGCACACACGGTCGTAGAGATGCAAACCCCAGGTACAGACTGGGGATGCACACCACCACAACTACTTTCACAGAAATTTGCGCACAGTTATTTCGTGGGATATTTTGGACACGTATGGTACTGGCTCGATTCAGTTCATAAGAAACATGGTACCGGCTCATCTACAAGATCACATTTGTTCAATCAGTTTATGGTGTTTGGACAGCATGGAACTCGTTTGGGATGCTTGCCAGCTTAAGCAGACATTTGATCACAGATCAAATCAGAAGAACATGTTACCTCCAAATAAAACCATTGCATTTTGAGACGAAATTGTATGGAAGCATATATCGCAGCCCTCTTCTCACGACCAACAAATCAGTGCTGTTATCTAACACCGACATCGCTCTCAAGAGCCTGAACTGACGTGCCCTTTCAGTGCCGTAAAGCCGGGGATAGCCCCGCTCCAGGGAGCATGCGGGCAACTATCAACGGAAACGACCTATGTAGACCGGAAAACCCGGTGGCGGGATTCGGTGGCGTGCGGGCGACCATCGGCAAAGTCCCATGTTGGGAGATAGCCAGTTTTCCCTTGAATAGAGACAACGCAACACTGTGGGTCAGCCCGCACCACAATGTCGCACGAGGAAGCCTGGTATTAACTTGAATTGACTGGCAGTTAACTGGAGAGGACTGACATTGGGATATTTTTCGCAGATGCTGACATATGATGGCGACTACATATGATACGAACATCGAAAAACCTATTTGCTGGAAATGTTGCACTTCTTTACACGATTTAGCAACTAGAAATTCTTATGTAAGAGTAAGTATGAACAAACCACATGCCTTTCCACATTCTTATACAGTAGGAGCCAACATGTAAAACACTTATGTGTACCTACGCTTGCTGTCCATCCAAATCACGGGACATATAAATAAACGTTTATTTATACGTCCGTGATCCAAATACGGAATATTATGGGTATGCTGATTCCTGTCGCACACCACTACAGGTCGCTCAAATATATCGCGACAGAAATTCTGAACAAACCACTCAACACGGATCCTTCCATAGTGACAGATATGAACATTAATTGGTGACAATGCTGTCATTTACAACTCGTAAATTCAGTGTCAGACCTATCTAAAAAGGAAAATTCAGCACTGTAAGGTAAGCTTCATGCAATTCCACGCTTAAGCACGCCATCAACAATGTCAAACTGTTCCTAATAAAGGATGTTTGATGACTATCCCATATTAATATTCATATACAAAAAATAGTTTGCAGGCCACACCTTGATCCCACGAAACACGCAATAGTTTTGACTCGAAACCAATACTCCATCATTCCAGCGAGGACCAGTATTTGCAAAAGCCTGATTTTATCCACAAACTCTCACAGTGACACCCTCAACCCACGCTGACCCCGTGTGACCCACCGATGACCTTTGACTGACCTTGAGATCACGATGCACGACGCCCTGCTCGTGCATAAAGTCCACGGCGGCCAGCACCTGCCGGATCAGGTTGGAGGCGTCCTTCTCCGTGTAGGAGCCCTTCTCCACGATCCGGTCAAACAGCTCGCCGCCGGTCACGCTGTGAAGGTCACAGAGGTCAGGTCAGGTCACGGCAGGTCAGAGGTCAAATTTAGATCACCGGGAGGGCAATGAGGTGGAATGACGGCGAATGATTGATGCCGAGGTGGAACACGCTTGAAACTGATCGGATTGTATGGGTTCTGTGTAAATTTAGTTAGGTTTATTGAGGCAATATGCGACATTAGCATGTCCCCCGGACATACACTTCCCCCCATGCCCGGGTCGGCCATCGGCAGTTTTGTTTGCTGACATCACTAATGAAAGCGGCGGTCACACCGGGTATGTCTGGCAATGTCTGTGGCGATTTATGATCACTGGCTGCGGCACCAGTGATCGGCTGCGATAGCCGGTCCCTGACAAATGGCTGCCGCGGCCGGGGGGAGGAGCGTTCACTGTCGGCGCCTGGCCGCGTGACCGGCCCTAATGATCCGTTCAGAGGCACACTAATCGCTCCGTTTTGCATGTTGGTCCCGGCTGTCCGGGCGCGTGTGAATACGCCGTCAGTTCGTCCGGTGAGTGCTTATCATTGACTTGTCGAGGTGACCGAGGCGCAGTTGTGCAAAATAATGCTTGGTGTGGTGTGTTCTTTACAGGTTACATGCTGACCACAGTGTAATTGAGATTGCGGGGCATCAGTCATTATTTGCATTTCGTAAGATAGCATCAGTAAAGGAAACTAGAGCACATAATTCTTCAGCGTCGTAATTTATTAGGGCAGTTATAAAACAAGTCTTGAGATCATATTGGGTTATTAGCAGATATGTCATGCTGTATCGTCTGTGAGAGCCCATAATCAAGACATATCCGTGCCAGCAGTCTCCCATTGGCGCCGTTATCGTCTATCTACGTTCAGACATCTGCTCCCTTCAAATCCACGCCAGAGGAAACAGCACAATGCGGGCCCATAAAGCCTGCCTCAGGCCTGCAACGACCCGCCCGATGGTCGTCCCATCATTTTTGACATTTCACCTCGGTCGATCGACGCCAAGTCATGTTCCACATGTCCATCCAGGAGACTCCTTTTGGTCGCTTAGGAAAGAGACGAGCACACATAACTTAGTCGCCGGAGCAAGCTTAATAGTACGGGGTCGCATCGAAGAGCGGCAATCCACCCTCGTCACTCGTCGGGGCACAAGCCCAGAGCAAGACTTACTCAACTCATGGACAAGTTTGAGAAGAAATGCTGACCACACCGCCTCACATCTCGACAAATAGAGCAATACCCCGATTCTAGACTTTAAAGTTCAAGCTCTATCATTCATTTCGGAGAGAAGTAACGTCACCATTTCCTCCCAAGCCCGCTCAGCTCGGCTAGTATGACATTTTGCGCCGCGGGGCAGCACACTCAGCGACTCGGGAAGGATGGCCTCAGATACATCATCGTCTGCGACTGAGTCGGCTCAGGCGGCCGTCACAGCATCCGCAGCTCGTGTGGGAGGAACCTTCGCTCGAAGGACGTCACGAACGGTGATCGATTCGGGGATGTGCTCCGGGTCAGAGGCGACTGATGAGGTCTGTGACCCGGCTCAAGGTATAATTTTTTGACAGCGAAGTAATGTGATACGAGCCAGCCCGGAGTTAATTTACTTTGCTTTGGAGAGCTGAGTAGATGGTATTAAGAAAATGAATGACTCAAAAGATGTGAAGAGATGTCGGCTTGTCCCCTGAAGCTTAACTCGGTCCATTCAATGGCATGTGATTCATTTATAACTATACGATTTCATGTAATCTAATTGCTTTGTAATAGAAAATTAAGCGATTTTCATAAATTGAAAGCGGTTTGCCAACCATTTATAAGAAGTTCCGCCAGTTTTGCCACGACTCTTGGTGACCATAAGGTGACTTAGCACACCTATTCCCTCCCAAAATACCTATCCTAGATATCAAGACATCCAGAATCCAGTCCACCAAAAAAGTGATCTGAGGCCAGCTCCGCTCTAAAGCATGTGAAATGAAGCCATTAGGAGACCACTGGTCTTCTGGGGAAGCGTCTCAGCGGCATTAATCATCACATACATTATGTCATGGTGGGGAGGATTTCAGAGCTAAAAAAAGAAACAGACGGAGATGTTGAATTGCTTCAACGTCACCAGGGGATCTTGGTTTAATCCAAGACATAATTTGTACGAGTGAAGTTGCAATGTTGTTTCATAGCAGGATATTTGCTTTCTTTGTTACCTGCCTGAGCATGAAATCACTGTTTGAGGGGGCAAAAGGTGTAAAGCTTTCAGTGAATCACAAAAACACAACGCAGTACATTTAAGCAAACATCTGAACACCACTTCAGTCGTCATTCGCACCGTGGCTGTAACTACACATACATCCTCCTGCCCGCCTTTGTTTTGCGAAGCTGACCCTTTGTCCCAGCAAGTCACACCATGAATGGCTCCCCTAGAGCACAGTCCACATCAGCGACTTGCATATGCATGATCGCGCCGGGACAAAAGCCCACGAAGCAGCCATGATTGGCGTCTAACTTCGCTCGGTATCATGACGATGACTAGTACATGGCTTCTGAGTCGGCAAACGGTGGGCGGTCTGTTTCGGAGCCTCTGGCGCATTGGTCGCGCCGGGTATCTCCTCAGCGATCAGGGTGCGAAGAGCGTTCGCTTTGTTGAGCACAGCAGGACAAAGACGAGAGACTGCTGCTGGAAGTAGCGATAGCCTCGTGCGCCGCGAGATCATCAGCGATGGGCCTGGGATTCAAGATGCAGTAGCAGAACGTGTTACATAAGACCTTACCGAGGAGCAGCATGGCTTCAGGATATCAGAAAACGAGTTACAAACTGATGCACATAGAAATGTCGTCAGTGCGTGAGCCATCAAGAATATCGCAGAAAATGTGCTGGTGACGGATGTAGAGCTGTGCTCGAATTGACGCTGCTGCTATACCTACCATTGGCTCAACATTTCATCAGTCATGACAAGTCCTTTGATGAACGTTCAGCAAACATTCAGTTACCAGTGATGATCGTCGCTGTCTAAAATTATGCACTTTACGAGCCTCCGGGGCACGCGAGCGACCACCGCAGTGTCGCACTGCACCAGCGGTTGCATCACTCAGTATTCAGTGAATTTCTCATCAGCAAACGGGCAGAAAGTCCGTCGCGTCTCAATTCCAGGGATAGCCTTCCTGCCGCAACCGGCACAGAAATCGATGTTCTTCCCTACTGACATCAATTGGAAGTTCCAGATGACTTTCCGAGTCTCAGACATCAAAAGGGCCGGGGTGGTGATTTAATTCAGCTGCCAGGGCTAGTCGGTTCGATTGTACAAAGTCGTCAACTGGTGGGTCTCGCACATCCAACGGCGCTGACCTCTCAATGGGTCACGGTCGGAAGCGATTCACGATGGATGGGTCAACGTGGACGGTAGATGGTGGAGGGTGAAGGGTGGTAGGTGGAAGGTGGACAGTGGACAGTGGACAGTGGACAGTGGACGGTGGACGGTAGGCGGTGGATGGTGGATGGTGGACGGAAAGTTAACAAGATAGGCGGTGGACGGAGGGCCGTGGATTCGCTATCCTTCTTACCGGATGAGACGGCATAACCTTTCATTTCCGATAACTGAGTGGAGCGTTAAATTCTACTCAATACTTATTGCCATCAGCCGGATCTTCAATGAGAAAGTATTCATAGTTACCATGATCTGTGACCCGAGTCAAACAGACCATCAAAATAGGTCGGGGTCGGCCGCGCCGGCTGAATATTCGCTGTGTCATTCGCAGTCATGTTCGGTTTGCCATCAGCTCATGACAGGCAAATGCAATAAATGCAAGAATGGCGTGATTGACGGGGCGTGCGACACCGTTGTGATAAACCAACCGCGCTTTGACGGAGCGTGCTACTGTTGTGCATGCACTCACAAAGGGTCATCGGGTGTGCCGTGGAACTGTTCACCGTTCCAATCACAGACCCTATGACCTCGATGGCAACTGAGCCGTGTTTGAGGCCCACAAGGTCAGTCCGATGTAGCCACACACCACTCGGAGCTATCACTCGTCCAACTATGGCTGACCCATACAGCACAGACAATCGATGGTCGATGGATACGACCCCATTCCATACCCGCTGACCGGCGGCGGCGGTTGCCGCTACTGTTGTCCGCCTGATTGAAAGGAACGTCCGGGCGGTATTTCGTGGGCGGATTGCCTGCCACCGTTCCGGCGGACGGCTGCATTGCGTCCGAACTGATTGGTGTCTGCCGTCGTGCCTGCTGTCTGTGGCACAGCGCGGCGGCGCTACATTACCAAATGGGTCGGGCGGCGGCACTGGTATTCTCCTCCCGATTTTTTGCTCCTCCGCTGGGCACACATGCAGGAAAAGACGCTCCATCCGATGAGATGGTCCATGGCGGGAGCGTCCGGAAGAACTAGCTGGTGCCTCTTGACGAAGAAAGGGCACCGCGTCGGTAGCAGTCGGTACACAAGCGGCTTGTCAGGGGTGTCCATTAGCCAAGGGCGTGGCGCATCCGGGACGGGCAGAGAGTCAGAGACCGATCAGCCAGATATATATAGAGGAAGCGAATCAGGAGAGGGAACGAAACAAAAAGTTAATATACGTGATGGTGTATAATGGTATAGGGAAGGAAGGACAGCAAAAGCAGCAAAAACGCAAGACGCCGAAAAAAGAGCATTTATTCAAAGCAACATAGAAACATCTTCGGTGGTTAAAAAGTGGACAAGTGGTGGATAACCTCGTACAGCAGAAGAAAATAGCTATGAACAATAACAATATCAGATTTGGGGATTATAACGCATTGCATATCCGCAAAAAAGATATTACCTACGTCATACCTACGTGGCACAATTCATATTTGTTTTATACCGTCAAAGTTAGCCTGATATTGCTATTCATATCTCAGACAATAAATATCAACGACAGTTTATTGCACCATCTTCAAACAGCTACAGCATGGAGACAAGTTATCGGACAGACAACTTCAACCACTTGGCTGTACCGCGCTGTGCCGCCACAGGTGTTCTGCAGACGGACCCCG